TGTTCTCGCCGAGAGTGGTGAACATACGACCAGCCACACCGATCATGTTCTTCATCTGCTTGCCCACCAGACTGAGGATGGCCATCTCAGGGATGATGTCAACGGTGCCGTACCGTCCCAAATCATTCAATGCCCCCTTGAGATCATCATCAATAACTTGATACTCATCCCGTCCATTTCCGTTCAAAAGCGGCGCTTCTGAATGGAGGGCCAGAGATACGTGAACCTCGCTGGTGGAGATCAGGTCAATGGACAGGCGCCACTTGTCCAGCACAGAGAAAATGCCGGCAAAGAAACCGTGTGACAGGGACCGTTTGTTGGAGTGGACGTTGATGACCAAAATCTTGTGCTTGATGGTCACGGCCGTCGGCCGCTTCGGCCTTTGCATGAAGCTGGGACTGCGCGTGCGGAACAGGCGAGGATCGTGTCCAGGGGTGGTTCTCTCCAGTTCGGCCGTGGAGTCTGGGAAGATAATGGTGCCCCTGTTCTTCGGGTTCATGACATTCTTGATGCGAATGGGGATCTTGGCGCGGATGACTTGTTCCATGGTGAACGGGTGAATGACTTCGGAGCCATAGAAGGTTAATTCGGCGGCTTCAGCGGGGGTGATGGCGGAGAGCAGACGAGCAGTCGGCACCTTGCGCGGGTCCGCAGTGAAGATGCCGTCCACTTCCTTCCACACCTGCAGCTCCTTGGCGTGAGTCCCAACTGCAACGAGGGCAGCGCAAAGATCGGTGTATCCACGGCCAATCTGATCAAGCAAACCACCGGGAATAGTACCAAAGTACCCAGTCATGACTGGTACTCGGTGCCCGCAGGCCTCGACCTTCTTGCCAAAGGCCGCCGCCAACGTGTTATAAAAGTCCTGGTCGAGGCCGTGGTGACCAATTGGGAAATCAATGATCTCGGAGAGGTCGACGTATTGTGAGTCTACCCCACGATCTTGCAGCAGGGCAGCCATCACACGGCAGCTGAGCTTCTCGCCGGTGCTGATCACCTTGTCCACGCAACGTGCGCTAATCTCTCCGAGAGTCTGAGCAGCCTCGAGTACTTTGAGAACCCGTTCACATTCTCCACTGATATCCGCAATCACTTGGTCTCTGATTTCGGGGGATTTCAACTGGTCCTGGGCGACTTGGACATGTTCCAACCGAACAGCCTCCACCAATGTCCGGTATTCCCGCGACTGGGAATTCTCAGCATCCCGTGCGGCCCGCAATAACCTGTTTCACAAGTACTATCAGCATCTCGAGGTGACCTGCCACAGAATTGGGATGACTCACCGGTTGGTGGTGCCTTCGGCTTTCGTAGAACTGCTTCGTGCCGAACATACAACAGCGACTCTGTTATCAACTAGGCTGGGTCTATAATGAGGGATCTCGGTCAGTGATGTCCGTGTGTAGTCGTGAATTGAGTCATCATACTGGACCACCTGCTCAATAATATTGAGAGCAAACTTGCCAACACTAGTGCCACCGAATTTCTGCACAACCCAATTGCTGTGGGCCTGTGAGGCTGAATCTAGGAGAGCCATGATCACGTCAACCCAGGAGAGTCTGTTGTGGAAAGAAGAGGGAGAGTAGTGTAGTTTGCGAGGGGAACAGCGAAAGCGGAGCCCTACCACATGTGGCGCCGCATTTGCAAAAAAAAATCGTGACTCAATTGGCAATAGAGTTTGACCGCCTTCCCGAAGCAGTCAGGCACTAAACGATGTCGGCGACCCCGCCAATCACGCCATTGGCATTGTGTACGGAATAACATTTATCCCGGTTCCTTGATTACGGAGTACAATGGGATTTACGATGTTATTTTTATTTATATCGAGGGTTGGCATGCCGAGAATGGTTCGGATTGGATTTTATACATATCAATTCTCAGCTCTTATATATCTTTTTGCACACGCTTCCTTTACTTTGTAATATGCAACTATACGAAATTCTACTTGAACATATGGTGGGTCTCGGGAACGGGCACCGTTCCCTCGTTTAGGCTTTAGGCATCAGACTATGCATTTCTTATACGTCCGACTCGATATCCAACTTTGCTTGTAGGCTAGTATTTGCCATTTTCTTTGCATCTCGGTACATACATTCGACATCTCTTCCGCAGTATCTCCCAAAAAAAAAACATCAACCTATCAAAATTCGGGCCTTGTCGGCACAGGATGAAAACTTCATGATGGCGGACCACAGCACCCCGTCATGTCCATTTTGTCCATTCACAGACCAAGATGCTGACTTTGTCATTCAGCATATCGAATTCTGTCATCCAGAATTTGAAGGCGCGGGCTTTTTGTCCGACAGCCCTCCTGTTGCGAGTCCGAGGTTGTCACCGTCTGTTGACGACGATGCAGACAAGTATGTTGGCTGTCCGCACGGGTGTGGGGAGACGGTGGCAAGTGCCGAACTTTCAAATCACTTGGATCTGCATGTTGCAGAGTGTATGGCACTGGATGATGCTGGGGTAACGCCGGCACACTCAAACGCGGGAGCTTCATACGAAGATGACCATTCATTTGAAGAGGATGACTCATTCGACATTCTGGATTCTCACAAGGGGGGTAAGCGTGGGATGCAGCGAGATGTCTCGCGAGCAAATACAGCAAAGCCACTACGGCCTCACGACCCTCCGAACGCAATTGGCCCTGATGGCGCAAAGAGATTAGGAGTGCGTATCACATTTTGAATAATCTACAACCCATTCACTAACCCTTTCACAGCGTTCAGAACTGGGTCCCCATGCCCATGAAAAGAAAATGCCGTCGTGGCTGAGGAAAATGTTGGAGAAAGGAGGCCGCACTTCAAAGCAGACCCAAATTACCTCAGACGGTAAATTGTCACGGCGCGAGACAGTGGAAAATGAGACCGACAATTTGATTCCAATCCTTGCTCGTTTATGTGAACAAGACAAATCTGTGAAGCGGGCCTTTTTTTGTAGCCCCAAGGTCCGCCATATCTGCAAGATGTCTCGGGAAGGCGGGTTTTGTGGCTACCGGAACATTCAGATGCTCATCTCTTATTTGAGAAAGTCTCGAAGTTATGGATATGAGCACTTTCCAGAAAAGGGTCCGACGATCTTGGATCTACAGGATATGATTGAATCTGCCTGGGATATGGGATTCAACAGTGTTGGGAGAACGGAGACTGGGGGTATCAAAGACACCCGCAAATTTATTGGAACGCCCGAGGTGGGTTTCTTCTCGCATATCTGATGTACCTGCTAACCATGCTTTAGGCACAAGCATTATTCATGAGTCTTGGGATCCCGTGAGTTGTGACTGACATTTCGAAAAGGATACCGCTAACTCTCATCCAGGTCTGACGCCAGCAGTTTGTGTGAAGGTAGTGACATACGCGCCTGCGATGCCCTCTACATGGATGTGGCAAGCTATTTCAGGTCGGCATGTTCATTAGAGGACGAAGAGACCAAGATCTTCAAGACTGATCTCCCTCCGATATACTTCCAACATCAAGGTGTGTCCAATTTCAATGATTTCTTTACTTGTTTTTTGTGTCGTGTTTTCTTACTCAAAGAAACAGGTCATTCCATGACAATTGTTGGGTTTGAGATCCGAGACAATGGCAGTGCCAATCTGCTCGTTTTCGACCCGATGTTCAAGACTTCCCCTGCCATGGAGCGTATGCTTGGAGCTTTTGTCAAACCAAACGATCCTACGCGCCTGCTCAAAGCGTATCGCAGGGGCACGCCTTATCTGCAAAAGTATAAGATATTCGAGCTTCTCAAGTGAGTGATTGTTGATCTTTTTCTTATATCATACTTACGAATTGCAGACTATGCATTACTCCTCCGAACCCCGAAACCCACGCAGAACTGACATGAACTAGAGTACCTCTAGATGAGGGATATCTGTATATAATCATGATTAATGAGATAATGCTCCCCTGTTGTATACAACTCATACTCGTGGTGACACCGCCTACCATACCGCCTGTCACACTGCCTTGAAAGTCACCATGGGGTATGTCTAACATTACTCTCTTGTTAATGTTATGCTTGGGGCTATAATTGAGGCTACATGGGAACACTGATATAGAATAAAATATAACTATATGTACAGGGTACATCAGGGGATTAATGTTCCTTTCTGCCGGCAGTAAAATTAGTAAGTTACCCCTCCGACGATAAGATAGTCGAAAATTAGTCTGATTTCATCAGAGGACAATTCTTATACAGTACACTCTTCCAACCATGCGAACCTCTCCGAACGTGATCATCACTGGTACCCCTGGCGTGGGGAAGACCGTTCATTGCGAACAACTCGCGCAAGATATCGGCCTGAAGCATCTCTCCATCAACCAAGTCGCAAAAGACCGTGGCTGCTTCGATGAATATGATGAGGAACTGAAAACCTGGGTGGTCGATGAAGATAAGGTAAGATTTTCGTCTGCGCGCGATATTTCTGTTATGGCGCCCTTTGACACCTGGGCATATATAACCAACCACCTCCGTCACGAAAGCCCCGAGTCAGAGAATGCTAATCCGTTTGAATCTCTAGCTCCTGGATGCCCTCGAAGATGAAATTCCCAACGGTGGATACCTAATTGACTGGCATGCTTGCGATCTCTTCCCTAAATCCTGGATTGATCTCGTCGTTGTCCTCCGGTGCCCCACTACAGATGTTCTATACGACCGACTTGCCTCGCGGTAAGTCGACTGGCTTTGGATACTGATCCATGCCTAAAACTAAGTCTTGTCTAGGGGTTACCACGATAAGAAGCTTGAGGAGAACGTCGATGCGGAAATTTTTGGCGTCCTGCTAGATGAAGCGCGGGAAGCTTTCGACGAGGAGGTTGTGGTGGAGCTGAACAGCGAGCAGGACAGTGATGTGGAATCCAACTGCCAGAGAATCGCGCAGTGGGTGGAGTCGTGGAAGAATACGCAGGCGGAAAATGCGGACTGAACAACCATAGACATGCTTTGGCTTCATTTCTCATTCTTCTATATGGTCTATCATGGCCGCTTTATATACCCATGGCTATTTACTGCTGTCCTTCGGCTAGCCACTGCTGCAACTTCACTAGCGCCTTGTATCGGTGGGAGATTTTGTTCTGTCCGTTTCTTAGTATGGATTCTTGGATTAGACTCAAAACAGGTCTTCTTACCTTGGCTTCCTTCTCCATCTCGGCGTATGTTGTCTTTCCATCATACTCGAAGATAGGGTCCCAGCCTGTCATACATAAGAACTTGAATCTGAAATACGAATTTCTTGGAAGTTCACTTACCAAAATTGGTCGGGCCTCTGGGCCGCACAATGGCACCCTGTATATCGCAATTAGATATGTCTCATGATATTACCATAGATGATGAACTTACCTCAGTTCTGCCCTGGAAGATAAGAGGCTCCTCGCCAGGTCCCCGGCAAAAGGCAAAGGTGCACACAGCTTCGGCCGTTCTGTCCTCAAAACCGTCAAGCATCTTGTTCAAGCCTTCGTGGCCCAAAGCCATGAAAGATTTGCTTGATATAATTAGCAATTTCACATAGCATGTAGTATGGAGGTCTCACATGTATGGCCCGGGGAGACCCTTGAGTGCATGGAACTCGAGGGCAGTGTCTTCGGTCAAAGCAGGTCCATTAATCTGTGCCACATGAGTATATATAACTTCAAGTGATAATCTACAGGGTATAACTCACTGCTTCAGCGGCACGTTTGGCTTTTTCCTTGGCGATTTCCTCGATGGTTCCCTGGATCTCTGGGACATCGACTTCCTGGCTGTCTACCTCGATAACATTACCAAGGATAGCCCGCACTTCGGACAACTTGTTCTTGTTCCCAGTAATGAAGTTGAGCTTGGTGAGAGTCATTTTGAATGTTGATTGAGTCCTTGGCGCAATATGGTGAGTCAGGTCTGGAGGTTCAAAGTGTCGCGAGAGTGAGAGGTCGAACTCCACCCCACCGTCACCGCTCCAATATATATCCGTGATGTTCATGAACCTCCAGTTTAGTATGACTACAAGAAGTGAACATGTACATGCCTACAGAGCAAAAATGTAAATGTCAAACAGAGTTCTGTTCTGTCTATACCTAAGACGTCTCATGCAAAACACAAATGAAAATCATCGCATCACTGTATCTCAAAGGCCATGGAGAAATCCAGGCAGGTCGTAATCCGTAGCTCACAGGGAAGTCTCTCTAATATACAACATACAGATCTATTCCTCAATTACCCCGTTGTCCAATTCGAGCTTCTCTTGTTGCGCCATCGCCTGCGCTGACACAATCTCAGCCAGTCGCTTCAGTCGCGGTGTTTGGAGCCAGGATGGGGTATAGGTCTCCAGAGCGGTGATAACACGGGGCTCGGCGATCTCATAAGGACCGCTGTCCTCCATATCGACCGGCGCCAACAGGAGTACATCGCTCTTCTCAGTGACTCGAGAAGCGACAGCCTTCATGATTTCGCCGTTTATGGGCTGTTCATAGTCTGCAACCAGGTACTGGTTCAGAAGTTTCTGAATCTGGTTTGGTGACAGCCTGGAACCGGTGTTAGTGGATGGATATCACAGACAGCGTGGGCTGAACTTACATCCAGCAGATATCTTGAATGATCTCAATATCATTCAGAGTAGCCTTCTTCAGCTGCAGAAGCTTTGTCGCTTGCTGTTGTAAACGTTAGCAGGCTGAGGCCCAAACGATGCAAAGAAACATACCATCAGATGCTCCAATTGCAAGGTTCCCTCTGGCATGTCGTGGCTCTTGCACCACTCCTCGATCCGAGTGATGTTGTAGTTGATCTGAAGACCACGCTTCCATGAAAGGAAGTTACGGCGCATGAGGAGATCGTTAAATGCGGTGACACCAACCAGGCGCAGCAGCTCTGTGACGGTCTGAGTGACAATGGTGTCTTCAAGGTAGAATGCCTTCATGGCCTTGTAGACACCATTCAGGAGACTGAGGAGGTTGTCCATGCTGTAAGCAGGATTGTTGTTAGAGGGCAAGAGCTTTCCAAGGAAACGGTTGGTTTCACTCGTAACAAAGCCTGGAAGTGACTGAGACTCGATAATCGCAGGCACAATCATCTTGTAAAGCTTCTTCTTCAATACTTTCATCCATGTGTGGTAAATGTTGAACTCCAAGCTTTCAAGATCGTGCTTGACAATCTCCAGAAGACGGTCGTACTCATAGTTCTCGGTCTTCTGGGCTTCATACCAATCCTCAGCCAGGAAGACAAAGGAGAGCATCTCGTGCACGTTGGACAACCAGAAGGCACCGGGGTTGATTGCATCATCACCATCATGCTGCATGACCTCTTGTTGAATGGATTGCATGACATTGGCAAGGAATCGCTCCGACTCCTTGACGAAACCATTGTTCCACATCTCGGATGTGACCAGGTTGATCAAATATGCCGGGAAGAGGACTTCTTTTTCGGTAGGTGGTGGGGTCGAGCTTGGGAGAGGGATCTTCAGATTGCGAATCAGACCCATGCCGACCTCCTCATTCAAGTCGTCCTCTTCAGAGAGCAAGTTTTCGAGTTCGTACTCAACAGATTCCGATCCCGGAGAGATAACTGCGTTCTGACGAGCGGCCATGGACCCAGGGGTGATTGCCATTGATACCGGCCGAGGGTTGTAAGCACCGCTGAAGCGATCCGTCTCAATCTTTTCTGCGCCAGCGCTGCGTCTCTTTGGTTTGGGCTTCTTCGAAGACACCAGGTTGATCAATGCCGGTGCAGGGGCTTGAATTGCGCCACCGTTTGGAAGATCGCCATTGACCCCGTTGACTGGCACAGACCTCTTGGCAACCTCGAGCTGTTCCTCAAGCTCCGAGATGCGCTGGCGGAGGCCGGTCTTGTCTTTCTCGTGATCGGCGTCAATAAGCCTGAGCCGCTCCAGCTCCTCGTTGGCGGCCTGTAAAGCCTCACGAGAGAGCCTTTCTTCTTCTTGGAGGCGTTTGATGTTGGATTGAGCCTCGGTATGACTTTGTTGCAGCTTAGCCATCTCCTCTTCGATGGCCTCTAACCGGGCTGCAGTGATACCAGCCTGGTTTGCTTCAGCTTGAAGCTCCTTTGTGCGGGCCTCCAGCGTGTTATGACGACTGCGCCACGACTTCAATTGAGTGTCGTAGTTTTCCAACTGAGAGACCAAGGTCTTATTTTCGAGTTTGAGAGATTGTATGATCTGAGTCAACTCGACCACCTTGTTCTCAAGCTTGTAAGAAATCTGCTTGAGATCGCGTGCATCCTCACGAAGTCGCTTGTAAGCATTTCTCGCCTGTTTACCTCTCCAAAGGTTCTGGACAGTGATAACCTTACGGCGATACTGTCTCCAGGACCGCAATTGACGCCATGAACGGAAGGCACGTTGAATGACCTTGGCTGCGTTCCCATGGATAGAGTCCATGATATTGCGCCGACAAAGAAATCCCTTGGCAATGGACTGGAACAGAATGAAGTTGTTGCGGATTTGAGTGTATCGCTTCTTCTCCTTCTGGCCACGCCAGACCCGCTGAATCGTGGTAGCAGCCTTCGTGCGGCGGATTTCCTGGGCGCGTTGACGTGCCAGGAATCCCCGGATAAAGGCCTGAGTGGTGAGAATGGATTCGCGAGCTTCGAGGTAGCGACGGCGGTAATACTTGGCCCGCAGATTCTTCTGGATCATTATGGCGCATTCGTTCAACCTGGAGGTTCTGAGGTTCTCCAGGAAAGCGAGCATACCAGCCCGGAAAAAGATCTTGGTGAGACCCAGCTGGTACTTGACCTGCTTTTGGTGGCTGGCCTCTCCAAGGGCCTTGCGCAGAATAGCATGACACATTTCTCGGATCTCGGAGGTCCATTGTGAGGAATGACACAGCATGTAATAGCGAATGGCAAATTCCTCATAGGTCCATCGGGTTGGGTAACCAGCGGTACTAATTCGAACGGTTTCCAAGACACCGCAAGCTCTCAGCTGACTCAGGACCATGGGTCCCTCGAATTTCCAAGCTTCCTTGGCCTCATTGGGCTTGATGCAGCGGATATAATGGACCTCGGTAGAGTTGATGGTGTGCATCAGCTCAATCAGCGAAGACTTGAAGATTCCTCCGAGTGTAGGCTTGCGGTTCACTGCAACACCGATCCGGCGACCGGGTGCTGCTGCTACCGGCTTGGATGAGACAGAGGCAGAATCCTTTTCACGGACAGCAGCGGCAGTGTCCAGGATCTCCTTGATGAATGGGTTTGATGAGTTGCGCAGCACCTCCAAATGTTCATCGGGCACAGTATCGCGGTTCTTTTCAATGAAACCATCCGATTCATAAGTAACATCCACAGCGTAGTGACAAACTGTGAATGCGGACTTGCCGAATCTGGGCTTCTTGTAGAACTTTTGCTTGTCGGCGGCAAAGTGATGGTGAAGCTTCGTGACAAACTGCTCGTCGGAGCCCATAGGAAGTCGAGATTCTTCATCCAAAAGCGATAGAATACCAAGCTTGGCCTCGATCAAATCGATACAAGGTTGGTTATCTGAGAAGTCGATGAAGGTCCAATCAATCTCTTCCCGTACATATTCTTCCTGCTCAAGCTTGAACACATGCTGGTTGAACTCTTGCTGGAGCTTTTCATTGGCATAGTTGATACAGAATTGTTCGAAGGAGTTTTTGGCAAAGTGTTCAAACCCGTAAATATCCAGAACACCAATGAAGCACTTAAACTTCTCAAGAACCTCGTCCGTGGCCAAACGGCGATTGATCTTGTCCACAAGCCAATCAAACAGACTTGAATAAATGAATTTGGCGACTGAGTCTCGGACGACGAGAGCCTGCTGCTGCGTCAAGTTTGAAGTGATCTTCTCACCACGGGTGATGAGTTGCTTTTTGACGATCCATCTCGCAAACTCGTTGGCATCGATACCAAGCATCTCACAAGCGCGCACAAGGGCAGGCTCGGACGATGAGAGGGACGATTCGGTACGGGTAGCTGTGATCTTGACATTACCAAGGTGTAGTAACGCAGCGAGAACACGGAAAATGCCGGTTTGGTCTTCCGTTGGAACACCAATAGTAGCCAACGACTTTCTGGTGGCTTCGAATTCAGCCTTGTCATCGACACCGTCAATCGTCGGCGTGCCGCCTTGGTTTAGATACTCAAAGTCCTCAGCAGACAAAAGATTGAGGTCTTGCTTTTCTTGGTCCGAGGCACCGGCCACAAGCTGGTAGAAGATGTGGTAGTTGCGCTCCTTCAGAGGCTGGAAAACCAACCTGGACCGCTCGAGAAGATAGGTTCGGATTTTGGCACCAATGATATTCGTCCGGTCATCGAACATGATCTCGATATATTTGCCGAAACGAGAGGAGTTATCATTGCGGGTTGTTTTGGCGTTACCGAACGCTTCCATCACCGGGTTGGTTGCCAAAATCTGCTCTTCGGTCTCACTAATGGCATCTGCTCGACTCGTAGTGTATTTTCCAGGCTGGTCGGAGGATTCGCGAGTCGCAAAATAACGCATGATGTATTTAGCGCTCACTGTCTTACCAGCACCGGATTCACCCGATACCACAATCGTTTGGTTCTTTCCGTCACGAAGCATGTCACTGTAAAAAAAATTTAAGCAAACGAAATCTAAAGGGAAGAGTTGGCACTTACGCGAAAGCTTCCTCCGCAATCGCGAACAGATGAGGTGCCTGCGAGGCACGGTGTTTCCCAGCATAGACTTGCACCATCTGCGGCACATACAGCGAATCGACTCGGGCGAAAGGGTTGGTTGCAATCAGAACAATACCACTGTAGGTATATATCTCCTTCTGGGCATAGCGAAGTTTTATAGCCTGCAGGACTTCAAAGCCGTCAGCTGGGAAGCAGCACTCAACATATCTAGAAGCGAGACAAACC